CAGGCAAAATCCAAAACATTGGTTACAATTTTTCTAAAGCCCTATTAACTCCTAAAATTTTAAATTATAGTTTTTCCACATAAGAACTATAAAATTTTCAGTAAAAGGTCTTTTGGTAAAAATTTGAGGGTCTTCTCTTCATCCGTTCCCATTCTGGAATTGTTTCTGTAATTATTTTTTGTCTAATTACTGTCTGGTCACAGCTGTTCTAAAAGCTTAGATTTCTGAGCAAATTACTGAACGTGGAAACAAGTAACTTTTACATACATTTTAATAGAATTCCAGTTTGAAAAATGAACCAGGAAGTTTATTTTTTCTTGCTGTAGCTTCACACCTTCACTAAAAGGCAGAAACAGGCCAATTTCTTATAAATTGATTATACAACACTGGCTGCACATATGCCTTCCTTTCACTTTTACAAGGGCTAAAAACTTAAATCTTAAATAAACTTAAAGGTCAGTTTGTCACATTTATGGAATGCTGGAACAGACCTTTGATCACTCAAAAGGAATTGGATTGACACACTATTCTAATCAACTATTCATTTTCTTGTAGCATATGATTCTTTAGAAATCAATCATTTATAAACTATTTGCTATTTTTAAAAACAATTTTAAGTGAAACACCCCCTTCCCCCGAATTGGATCTTGACTGACTTTAAGGTATCTGAAATTAGGACGTAGGTTTCATCTAAACTTTTCAGAATATGCTTGCATCTGGATATAACTTATTGTAATACTGGTAGTACAATTCACTTTGAAAGTGTTAGTATGGTTAAGTTTTCACTTTCAGATTAAATTCTTTTTGGTGAGACAGTGGCAACTTTAAACAACCTTTGAACAATCCTTGGAACAATTATATATTATTTTCATGCATTCAAAAGAAACTATAAATTCTGAAGTTTTTATTTGGACATGGAAAGTACATCAGTAACATTTGATCAAATTGTGATATATGTTTACCCATCCACCCATCTATTCATCCTTTATAGGTTTATCCCACATTTAATTTTGTCATTAGATTCACAATGTTTAATTTTTCTCTAAAGAATTTGGATCAACAGTATATAAGGAATAAACATGTAACACTTTTAACTAAGAAATCCTTGATTTATTGCACTTTACATGGATATATAGATATATGTATATATACATACAAAAGACAGTTCTTCCATGTTGCTACAAGTAACTTAAAATCAAAATATGACACATTGGAAGTTACAAAAGGCTTCTTGAAATAATAGTTTTACACAAACCAAAATTTACAAATTTGTAACTACACACAAGTTTTCTATTCCACTTTGTTTTCTTAATGCTAAGTTTCATCTTTTAATAGTACGCATTTCCTTTTTCACATGTATTTTTTTCAATAGATACTTGTGTTAGAATGAATAATAGTAAATTCATGAATCTTATTTCAAGTACCTGAGCTCAAAAGAAATACTGCTGCCCTGGATTAACACACATTTATAAATTCTATTAATTTACAATGTTTCTTACTTCTTTGTTGTAATCAGTAGATACAGTATTATACAGTCTAGCAAAGTTCAAATTCAACTACTATCATAATTGGAAGAATGTGATCCTCTGTGCAGATAAATTGAGAGATGATTAAGGCATATCTTATTTCCTTACAATCCATCCCCATAAACTGCTATAAAATTTGGCTAGATGATAGAATCACATGTTAAGAGCAAATAATGGATTATAAGAAAAACATCCAATATCAATCATGACACATAAGCACCATTGACTCTGGGCAACAAAGGGAATCTCAATATTTATAAAGTATGACACAAAGAAATGGGATGATATTGTACCAATTTCACTGTAAAATAATTTGTGACTGGAGCAATAATAAACTTTGATGAGATGGAACATCCAGTAGCTAATTCTAGTTGTCATTACCCAATATGAAATTTTGGAAGAAAAACGGCTTTTTCATCATCATACCCATCCATATTTTAACATCGTTGATAGTACTGATTTATATTACTACCTGGTTTCCACTAGAACCAATCAGACATTAGGCAAAAAAATATGGTCCTTATGTAGAAAAAACATGACCAGGAGCAAAGCTACCAATTCTGTACATTTGTAAAATATTTCTCAAATGTATCTTCTTTAAAAGCAAATGAATACTGAAAAACACATTAAAAACATTCTAGTAAAGGCATGGTGATGTTACTAAAAAAGCTATAATTTCTCATTAGATACATTGAAAGGTCTTTTAAAAACTACAGATATAACCATGTTATTCACTCACCAAAAGGCTATTTGTATGTGACAAAACAATGAAAGTATAAAGTTCACTAAAAATTTTTTGTCTATATCCTGTAAAACATCTATAAAGATATGAAATGTGAGAATTACTAACATTTAATTCTGAAAATGTTTTTGAATTGTCGATAAGCAATTTTTCTAAGCAACATACAGAAATATTTAGTAACCCTCCAGAAAGTTTCCCTTGTTCAATTGTCACATACTCCTTAAATATCAAATGGAATTTTTAACTTACATTAATTCCACTGGAAAATTAAATTAAAATATTCTAATTAATTCCAACATACAATCAAAGTCTCAGTGGAAATCAATAAACCTCAAAGTAGTTTTTAAACTAAATCTGTCAATTTCTCAAAAATGCCAAGATAAAAATCTCACTTTTCAAATGAAAATGTAAAATAACCATATTTACATGAAACACCTTCTAGACAATGTCATATATTAGACTATGAGTTCTAGTCCTGCCTTGGGCTGAGTAACCATAGATCAGTCACTTTTTCTCAGTCCTAGGAACTAGGTGATGGGGGAAACCTGCAAGGATTTGTCCAGATAGCTTCTGAGAATCAAACATGATTGAATGGAAGGGAAAAAAGTATATTAATAAAATTACCTCCAAGGTATAAGCATAGTACTTGTGGAGTATTCAAAAGTGTGCATAATAACCCATTTTTTTAAATAAATAAATAAATTACAAAATACCACATACAGGCAATCTTCAATTAGCAGACATTTGTTCAGCAACTCTTCAAAGTTACATTGGTCTTGCACAAATTATGACTGGCCCTTGGAGCTTTGGCCCTCCCAACAATCCTGCACTAACATCATTGCAATCTGAGCACTTGGCAACCTGTTTGCACTTAGTGGGTTGCCAAGCATCCTGCAATCATGTGATCAAAAGTCAATGGGGAAGCTGCAGGGAGGGCTGCAAGTTATTGGAGTGTCATTGGATCACCCCACACCCCTCCCAGACCCCACATAACACCTCATGGACCCTTTCCCATTGGACAGCAGCTACTTACTTTCCCGCCACCTTGGGACTTGCACTTTCCCTTTGGTTGTGAGAAGCTGCCAGGGAGTTATCTAACAATTGTGGGATTAATTTAATAACCACCAGGAATTGCCTTTGTTAAGCAATGCAATTGTGCTTTACAGCCACATTGCTTAGCAATGGAAATTCCAGCCCCAATTATTGTCATAAGCTGAGGACTACTTGTAAATCAGTAATATAGTTGGTCATTGATCCACAAGCTTTATCTGGTTGGGTAGCTAGAATTTAATTAATTCACACTGAGGAAAAAATCTGAATCAAATGTTATCTCAATCACGCTGAAAAACAGGGCCCACCAAACTGCTTGTTTACAGAGGGGACTGAATTTGTGTAATACTGAAATAGAATCTTCAGAACTAAGTAGATTTCTGAAAGCCAGGAAATAAATGTTCCCTTTCAAACACATTTTTTATTCTTTTAATATAAGAAATTGAAATTTGTGGTTAGAAGCTGTGGGAGTAGAAATATTCCATCCATTCTACTGAAATATTAACTCCATCATGCCTTGAGTGCTTCTTCTACAGATGAATTCAAGTAGTTGTAATATTCTGTACCTACTGTAAGCTTTATTTCAAATCACTTATATGCTTGCCAAGGATGAAACTCTACTAATAAAGTAGTTATCACTATATTCTGATATTTTGCTGAACATTTCAGAATAATGTACACTGTATACTTTTCACCCACACAATTAATTTTCAATAATTGAAATTCAAACAATTTAGAATAGCATGGATAAGCTCTGGAAGTTACTATTGTGCAATTTAATAAGTGACGACAGAAATTACTTTTAAATGATAAACTACTGTGATTAATCTTTCAGCTCAGCACAATCCAACAAAACCAACAGGAAATGTGGCTCATAGGAAAACAGGAATTTGCTTTTTCTCCCCCTAGTAAAAGCTCATATCAATTTGAATTAAAACCATTTAAAGGAGTTGGCGTATCTATACATGTGTATGAAAATGTTATGTGTGTGCATAAATTATTCCATCACCTATTTCATAAGATTTAATACTCTACAACATGGTGTATCTATAATGCATCCAACATAATAGATTTTAGAAAAATGAAATCAAACACATAATCTTTCTAGTTAAGCACTGAGTAGGGAATGGCATTTCTAACTTTGGTATTTATGAGACATATATAAAGCTAACTCATCTCAGCCATCTTCTAAAGATCTCATTTAAATCAAATGATATTTGCTTCAATTTGCATAAATGTGAGGATAATTCTTAATAACATCTACATATATTTTCTATAGTATGCATAACTTGTAGAAAGTAATTTCAGAATGAAACATCCTATTCCAGGTTTGAAATAGCTGCTTTAGTCTAAAACAGATTGAAATTTAGACTTTTCCCAATATAGTCAGAATGGCAAGGGTAGAACTGTTGTTTCAAGGAAAAAGCATGTCCAAACATCTCTAACTGAAATAATGAAACTGAGTTAACAAACACATCTGATGCCAATTATAGCTTTTCTGAATATCAAATTTCTATAATGCAGTTTTTAAAAATCCCTTTATATTCAAAACTATGTATTTTTTAAAAAAATAGAATGATGACAGAACGGAAACAGATTTATTTGGGCATAATCCCACAAATGTTCAAAGCATTACAAATATTTAAGAGAAGATAATATGAGGTAATATTTATTTTTCCCCCCATGTTTATAATTAATAGCTAGAATACTTTAAAGGGGTTTGTGTGTGAAATTAACATCTCCTGAATCAGAAACCCACATAAATAAAAATAAATCCACACCTCAAATCTTTACACAAATTCACAATATATAAAAGCTGATATATTAAAATTTGGAAAGGGTTCCTGAATGCATTTGCAGAAGTTTTGATGTGCAACATTTATGTAAAATGGAAAGTATACTACACTATCAAACAACCAGTTACTCGCTGGTTTGGCCAAAAAACAAAACCCAGAACAAATATAATGCAAAATTGATTTAAAAGCTTTGTTTGCTCATCACTTTGAAACACTGTTCAAAATGTAAAGACTGAAACTATGCATTTCCATGATCAAGTTTTAAACCTGCGAGGATGAATATGTCTGTTTTCCAGTAGGCAAGTAGCAACCTTCTTGTGTGCTTCATCATTCAATTTTCAGTATCCATTTTAGTGATTAACATACTCTTGTATGTAATAGGGCACGTCGGATGGCAATATCCAGAACTTTTTTAAAATTCTCATAAGATTTTGTTATTGGAAGTTGTAAACAGTTAAGGTCTCTTTTTCCAATTGGATATTTTATATGCTGAAACATGACTGAAGGGTCAGGATCAAAGCCAATGGGTGGAATACTGCGGATGCCAGTTGCAAATACTAAGATATCCTCTAGAGTTACAGATGACTCACCACCTACATCAAGAAATATGAAGATTGTTTTGAAAAAGCCATTGTAGTTAATCAAAATATAACATTAGTTAAGAAGTTACAGATGAACTGGAATAACAACATTTTAGGAAATAACAACATTCAGGAAATTGTAACTGCAATATAATGTAAAATAAAAGTGCAAAACCATCCTTTCTCCACCAATAGTGCAATCTGATGTTTCTTATTTTACAGGTACAAATATATTCCAAAAGTTCAAACTTCTAGAAGTAGGCAATATCCCATTTTCTTACCTTCTGTCTCCTGTAAGTAACCCATCCAGAAATCAAGGCATCTGGCCTTATCTGTTCCTGATAAATAGTGAATTGTAAAGAGATCACCAAGAAGTTTTGCTGAAAGTTTCTCAGGTTTGTGACATAATATGCTACAGAATGCATCGGGATTCATCTGTATTTTTTCCAAAACACCAAGTGTTTTCAAACCTTGTCTAAAACTTTTGGGGAAATAGAGGGAGAGATACAAAGAAAAAAACCTCTATGAGTCTTTTGTGCTGTTTCTTAAATAAAAAGAACCTTGTGGACATTCCTCTTAATAAAGCAAAAACTTACTGGCTGATCTCTATTAGCAAGAGGATTTAAAATTATGCTTACAAAAGTGATTCCTGTGATTGCTTCAACTAGAAAGGCAAGCTCACATATTCTTACTCATAGCTTGTATTGATTCATATTCCAAATCTACTAAAATCTCCTGAAATATATTGGAAAGCTTCATAACCTTTTGCTTGAATAACTTATGATTGTTGAAACAATCTGCAAAGGATTTCCAAGTGTTAAGTTATATCTTTTTTTAACCTACTCCACATTTTACCAAAATTATTAATTTTTTAATAATACTTGATTAAAGAGGAAAAAAACAATTTGGTGAAAATAACTAAGACATAATGAGCAAACATTTTAATGTACACCCACAGGACATCACCTAATATTTTCTTGCAAAACAGTTGAAATGATTCTTAATTAGTTAAAAATTTAAAAATGATAGGAATGATTTCCACAGCAAGCAAACCTTTCAAGTGGTAAAAGAATTCTTCTGATGACATGGTGATTCAGTATCTCATTCACCAATATATTCTTATCATGTAGTGCTGTTACAGGTTTCAAACATCCAATAGAAGCAAGATAGTCAGAGCAATCACTTATTGCTGATTCTAAGCTGCTCAGTGTTGTGGCAGATTTTATCTATAGAAGAAAACCAAGCGTATTTGCTCCATTAATAAACCATTCAAGCTAATACATTCCCTGGGAACAACTTGTTCCCTTCCTCCCGCCATACCTCCCCAGCTCTGTCACCACCATTATACTCTACTCCATCCCATCTCCCCAGTGGCAACCCCATCCCCAAATGTAGGCCCCCAAATTCTCAAGGATCTCCTCCCACTGTCTTCTACAACCACCCCTTGGAGGGGAAGTAAGGTACTCTGAGGCACTTTAACTTCACTAGTTCTGTGACACAATGATACCCACTAACCATCTCCCACTAGCACTCACAGGGGATCCTGGTTCTGTTGCTCTCACCAATTGGTAGAGAGCTTCATTCATCCCTCAAGTCCC